TTTTCGGAGAAGCCCATTTTCATTGCATGATGAAACGAACAGTTTCAATGATATACGAGTGTGAATAGATGATAACGGGGAGCAATTCATGGTGGTCAGTCAAATGGGCGGAGCTTAGGCAGAAGAGACTATAAAAGCAGGCAGAGTTTTAAGGAAAACACATCTCGAATTCATTCGACTCTCTCCTCAATTCTTCAAAATGATTCACATGCCAATACACGCAACATTCGATTCTACCACCTATGAGCTCCGTCGTTCACGACTTCAGACGACTATCGTCCGAAAATTCGACTAAAATTCTGAATATTTAATTCTTCAATCCTCTGCTCTATCACTTCACTTCAAGGATACGCTGCCTTTTTCAACGCCGGGTTCAACAATCTACGGATCTCCATAATTGTCCTTCGATTTTTAATTGATCTCTAAAAATCTCAATAAATGATTACTAAAAGTATACATGCGTTCTTTGAAATCACAAAAATTGTCTGTGATAAGTTGATAACGACATAGAAATTTTTCTTTGGAAATTCTCTCGATGTTCCAGGACAAGAGTTGGAAACTTTGAACGGAAACTATCAGATATTTAGACTATGTTTACACCCTGTGAATGAAACATTTTCAATCTAGGTTTGTTTTACACGCTCCAGAAGTTTCAAAGTGATCGGAAACTTGAAAACCAAGCTTCAGACTCCTGAATATGATCGAAATGACCGAATATCAACGGAAAAATATGTAGTTGTATACAGTAAAACCTGTAATAGAAGGGCCCCCACACTGTCAAGTTTAAGCTTAATTATCTCAAGTCTTTTGAATGATATCGAAAATCTGTCAACTGATAAAATATTGGTGATATTATAATAAAAAATTTGTCCGTTGACAACTTTTAAAATCTTTGACAGAAACCCAGATAAAATGGCTCAAAGTATAAAGTTTGGGGGCCCTATTATCACAGGTTTCACGGTATCTTATTGCCCGGTACTGTTTAACCAAGTATAAGGACAATTACTCATGTAACATCTCTTTTTAGACAATTTGAACTACAATTGTTTTCAAACAAAGAGCAGTTATTTGAATACAATCTCGCATTGCAGGAAGTGTTCATAGTTCTTTTTTTTTGGAAATCTTCGATCCTTCTGATTGCACTCTTTTTATCCCCAAAAATTGAATGGCAGAGAAGTGTCTCCCAGACTAAGTGATGTGAGACTAAAAGAGTGCAACAACAATGGAATTATCAGATGACAAATCCATAAACATCTCTATGACTAAACACTTAAACACGGTATACGAAAAAATTAGGGAAATTGAAAACATGATTATCCATAGGAAGTTATTGTGCTATGGTAAGAAGATGAAGCAGATATTTGTGATGGGATTGGTTTAAAGCTGGGATGTGTTTAAAATTCGGAGATGTTTTTGAGGTTAGTGGATGAAATCCGGTTAAAGTTGGGTTCGAATTTTTCATGTATTATGACGGTATGACTAAGAATCTGATGAAAATTGATTTTCATTGATTTTCAAGAGCATCATTTGAGGAACTGATAACATAATGATTGTGATATGACTGCGAGTGTTGTTTATTTTCCAGTTGAGTGCAAAAATATTAAGAGGCTGTAAAATAACATTGTAGTATTTGTTTGTTTACTCCCCTTGAAAAAAAACGGCAGAACCAGTAAAAAAAAGAAATCTAACTTTTTTTCAGTTTTTTCGAAAATTTATTATTTCAACTCACAACCTAAAATTCCAGAAATAAATTATAGTACTTTTTTGACATTAGACTTTTAAATAATATACATGCTTTCACTTTTTAACAATAAGAGCTAATTAACTTTTACTTGATCAAATGATTGTTTTTGTTTATCCAGGTCAAAAATAGAAAAATAAACAAACAAAGTACTTCCAGATCAATCGAACAAGTCAAATCAAAAAAGCGAATCAAAAAGACATTCGTTGGTCTTTTCATTAGACATCCTCGTGTTACCAACAAAAAAACCGGTTATTTCCTGTGTCAAGTGGCGGTCAATTATTGTCAAATGTCACTAGAGGTCTTGGAATTTTGTCAAACTTGCAGTCTGCATCTGTAGTTATTTATTGAGATTTAAAAGTACATTGTTCGGTTTAGCATCTGATTTCAATCTCTAGTCTTTTGCCAAAAAAAAATAAAATTGACTTTCCATAATTCTTATCAAACTGTTCTATATTTCATGCAAAGGCTAAAGATTTTCACAATAATAATTTATTAAATTTCAAAATGCAGCTTTCACATAAATTTGAACCAAAATGAGAGTGAGATCGAAGTGTAGCATCAGTAGTAGATGAGATTTTTTTGAATCCATGGATGACGGTTTCAGGGGAGATCCGAGAGAAGTTGTACCAGTTGGAGTTGGAAGCAATAATTTAATAAATAGAGTGTGGAATATGCACACAGTCGGAATATAGAATCAATTGGATTCGTATTGAAATAAATTATTTCAGAAATAATAAATTAGTTCATTTTACGAGCAACTGTAGCCTGAAGTCGAGCTAACCGGCTATTAGTTGGAGCTCGTTTTGGCTCTTCACAGGAAGAGATTTCGTTGTAAATTGGAAGATGTATCATAATTTAATAGAAGACGTTGAGATGTAAAACAACATAATTTTTCAGACGATTCCCGTCCTATTTATAGTAGTGATAAGTCTCCTCCCACTTTGATAGTAGTAAATGATTTTAACAAATTGTTTTTTTGTTTTCAAGTTTCGTTTTTAGAGTTCAAACTTCGGATGGAGATTAGGGCTAGAAGAAGAAGGAGAACATCTAATAGTATAGTTTAGGAATATCTCGATCTCCGGAAAACCAAAAAAGTGCAAAATGTTGCCAACTGAAGTTCTCATGACAAAAAACCGGTTTTTACTATCTTCTCTCTTTTTGTATCAGTTTAAACGAGAGACAACCATTGTCATTTGTCAAGTGTCACTTTGCCACATTACCACTATTCTTATCAGTTTGTATGTCCTTCTGTGATCATAAAATGTTAAAGTTCAAATCACTTGATCCTGTTCAAGAAAGTTCCAGATGATGAACATAACTTTTTGCAGACATTTCCAAAAATATCATCACAGAGCGCAACTCTTTATTCAATGATTCAAAATAAAATCTGCAATTTTTCCAGACAAAAACGATTTTATCCTGGAAGTTGTGTGAGATGTTAGACCCATCATTAACGTCAATGAATGGCTTTTCTTTTGACTTGATTTTGTTTTTTTTTCTTTTCAACTAGACAGGAGTCGGAAGCCTAGCTTGATTTGAATATTTAAATAACCATTAGAGGATCAGGAAACTAAAAGGTTAAGACACGGCTTCCGGTTTGGCCAAAAGAAAAGTCAGAAACAATCTTGGAAGAAAAAATTATGAGAAAAAGAAAACAACTCTACAAACCGCATGAATCATTTTCGTTAAAAAATAAAGATCAACACATTTAGTTGCATGACTTTCGGTCCTTTGATTGAAACAAGAGCGAAACATATGTTGTCTGTCTCCCCTTGATATCATTTATCAGTTAGTTCCTTAAAGATAGTGTACTTGTAAATAGATATAATTACTCATCGCTTATAGTAGATCTCTGGGAAAAATGAGTCATGCCGACAGGCCTGAGGACCACTGGAAAAATTATTTTATTTACCATGATTCAGAAACCATAACCGTGAAACATCATAGTTATTCCTGAGATCACTCTAGAAAGTTCAAGAGCAAAATTGAGGAAACAGTGATAAGTTTGCAAGTGTCAGAGAAGCAGAAAGACATACAAACTGATAAGAATAGTGGCAATGTGGCAAAATGACATTTGACATTTGACAAATGACAATGATTGTCTCTCGTGGACACTGATATCAAAAGAGGGAAGATAGTAAAAACCGGTTCTTTTTGTGATGGGAACTTCAGTTGGCGACTTTTTGCACTTTTCCGTGTTTCCCTGAAATCAAAAGATATCTCATTTTATCTTCAAACATGTTAGATATTCACCTTCTTCTAGCCCTAATCTCCATCCGAAGTTTCAACTCTAAAAACGAAACTTGACAACAAAAAAACAATTTGTTAAAATCATCTACTACTATCAAAGTGGGAGGAGACTTATCACTAGTATAAATAGGAGGGGAATCGTCTGAAAAATTATGTTGTTTTACATCTCAACGTCTTCTCTAGTAAATTATGTTCCATCTTCCAACCCACAACGAAATCTCTTCCTGTGAAGAGCCAAAACGAGCTCCAACCAATAGCCGGTTAGCTCGACTTCAGGCTACAGTTGCTCGTAAAATGAACTAATTTATTATTTCTAAAATAATTTATTTCAATACGAATCCAATTGATTCTATATTCCGACTGTGTGCATATTCCACACTCTATTTATTAAATTATTGCTTCCAACTCCAACTGGTACAACTTCTCTCGGATCTCCCCTGAAACCGTCATCCATGGATTCAAAAAATCTCATCTACTACTGATGCTACACTTCGATCTCACTCCTATTTTGGTTCAAATTTATGTGAAAGCTGCATTTTGAAATTTAATAAATTATTATTGTTAAATTCTTTAGCCCAAACATAAAACAGTTTGATAATTACGTTTTTCGTTTTGGTCATGAAAATTCTGTTTTGGCGTTTACTGGCAGGAGACAAAAGGTTAGAATCAATTGCTAAACCGAACGCTGTACTTTTTAAATCCCAATAAATAACTTCAGGTGCAGACTGCAAGTTTGACAAAATGCCAAGACCTCTAGTGACATTTGACAACAATTGACCGACACTTGACAGAGGAAATAACCGGTTTTTTGTGGGTAACATGAGGATGTCTAATTCTAATGAAAAGACCAACGAATGTCTTTTTGATTCGCTTTTTTTGATTTGATTTGTTCGATTGATCTGAAAGTACAAAAAATGACACAGGCTGGGTACAGATTCCAAATAAATTTATTATAAAAGAGAATCGGAAAACACAAATAAATTGAGATCAACAAAATATCAACAAATTATGAGAACCCGTGAAGTTTGAAGTTGAGATATCCTCTTCTCGTAAAATGGAAGCAGATTGAGATCGAGATTGAGACATCCAGAAGGACCCGTTGCTTCAGAACTCGTAGCATCATTGTATGAACATCATCTAGTTTTGCAGCTACGAACCAAAATATATGTATAGAAATATGTACAGAGGTAGATACAGTAGTTTGGTTGTTCGGGAAGAGTTAGGATTTCCTTGGAGTCAGGAGGCGAAGACGTCGGAGCTCATAGGTGGTAGTGTCGAATGTAGCGTGGATTGGCATGTGAATCATTGTGAGACAGAGAAACGGAACGTTTTATGAAGATGCACCGCCTCTCGAGTTGTCTTTTATACTGCTCTCCGCCGAAGCTCCGCCCCCCCCCCCCCATTTCCCCTCCTCTCTTGTGCTCCTACCTCCCCGCGGAGCCACTCCCATTTTCCCACGGCCGTTTGACCGGACTGTTGCTGTCTGTCGTCTATGTTTACCCATAGACCCTCTCGTTTTGCATCATGGATTGCAAAACTTAAAATTGTGCAAGTTCGAACGTTTTCTCTGAAAATTCATGTGCACAGTTGAAAGATGAAAGATAAGGAAGGTAGAAGAAGAACATGATGATTGTACAGAAAAGAAAATGACCGATCAGTGGGATCACCGGAAACAGGGGAAACTCATAATTTGCCTAATGCCAATTATGTTGACATATTTAGTAACACTTAGCAATACAAATGAATAACTGTTTGTCATTAAAGAAAACTGGATTGTACACAAGGTGGATAAGATTACCTTGTAATATAAGGATTGTCAAGTTTGAGCTCAATTATCCCGGCTCCTATGAGAGATATCAAAAATGTGTCAACTGATAAAATATTGGTGATAATACGACAAAAATTTTATCAGTTGTTAAGTTTTCAACGTCTTGCATAGCAACCGAGATAAATTGACTTAAAGATGACGACGCGGTGTGGGGGGGGGGGGGGGGTTGTGGACACACGGTCAACTTTGAACCCGTATATCTCACTTTTTGTGAAAGATATCAAAAAGTAACCAATTGACAAAATATAGCTTATATAATGACAGACATTTTAATAGTTGACAAATTTTTGATAACTTACACGAGAGCCGAGATAATTCAGCTCAAACTTGACAGTGTAAGGGCTCTTTTATTATTCATTGTCTCAGACATTCTCAGATTTTAAAAAAGTTTTTCAAGTACAAAACCTGACTATTTTCAATTCTCGGTACATTTTTTCATTCTTGGTAGCCACCCTCATAATGAACAACAAAACTGGGCCTTGTTTTTATCCCCAAGGAGGCTGTACAAAACAAAAATTCTGTAATTTTACATTCAGATTTTTGATCCTCGCTGATCTTGTTAACATTGAAAAACAGACGATTGCTGATTTCCTGAAGGAACATCCTGAAGTGTATCCCCTCGGATGTTAACTTTTCCTACTTCAATTTCCGGTCTACCTACATGTGTTACATCTGATCTGTTAAGCGGATAGCAAGCTTATCTGCTATCTGGTTGTAAATAATTGATGAAAACAATTTGGAAATATATCTTCCTAACTTACTCATTTTTAACATCTTTCTGTTTACAGTAGATTCAGAATGAAAAAATTTCCAAAATCTGTGTTTTTTCTGAAAAAAAAAACTGTTCGTAAACCTTCATAGTCAGCTTTTCACTTTCAATTTTTGCGGAAGAAAACGGTAAATCGGTTTAAAAAATGGGAATACGTCATATGAGTGATTCGAGTGTAGCAGGCAATAAAAGAAACATTTTCATTTTTGATTCCATTTTTTCTGTGATTGACAGTCTCATGACCTCTGAAAAAGTGACAGTTAGACTAGAAAAGAGTGGTTCTGCAGACAAGAAAAACAATTGTTTTACGGTACAGGAGAACCGGATGGCCCCTCGGATCCATTGACCTTGATCCCGGAAAGAGACGAAATTTCCGGAGGATACCAGGCTCTATTCAATTTATTCAAATTCCATTTCCTGAAAAAATTAATATCCGTCCAAACAACATAATCCCTGTCGGACTGTGTGAAGTTTGTTGTGTTTTCTTCTGGGAATTCTATGGTGGAACACACAGAAAAAATCCTGTTGTTGAAAAGGAATTATATGAGTAAAATAAATCCACCCTCACATCTACATACAAGCTTCCGCAGTGTCACAATCTGTTTTCGAATCAAGCATGTCCGAGAACGGAGTTGATCTGATTTTGTTAGCCATGGTAGGATTCGCAGAGTTCAGAAATTCAAGAAGGATTTGGCAGGCTAACGAAACTGAAATACGTTTTCTGGGTATGGTCGTAGTTGTGAATACACACTAATCGCTCGTTTTAAAGTTGCAATAACGCAACCTACTTGAGAGTCACTGAAGTTCTAACGCAGCTAAACTTTGAAGGTGGCCGGTTTTTTGAAGTTCCGGTCGTTATCAGATACAAGATATTCCTCTTCAAATTGTACATGTTTCTGTCCGAAAACCGGGTTTCTAGCACTTCTGAGAGCCGAGATGTAGCCTTTTGAAAGCTAGAGACGCAGTGTCTCTGGCGTCTCTAGAAAGCTAGAGACGCAGTGTCTCTGGCGTCTCTAGCGTCCCAAAACTTCAAATGACCTATCTCTGCTCCTACAGGGTGGCTGATAATTATAGGACGTTTCTAAAAGTCTCCCATTTTTTAGAAAAACGTTTTATAACTGTAATAACTTTATCAAAATATTCAAAATATGAAAGAATTTTAGTTTTATAACAAGTAGTCATGATTAGAACCACGAGCTATGACAGAAGCCTCCAAACGCATGATAAAAGATTTGGCTGTGCGGCGACTGTAGTTGACGTCAAAGTCGCCCTAGAACTTTTGAAATGGACTTTACAGAAAGTTTAAAAAACAGTAGGAGGTTCCTGAGATCTTGTTCTTCAAAAGATTCCATACATTAAAGTCCATCGGACTGAAATCCGTGGAGTTGAGGGCCCCCAATCGTAGCCGAGTTTTCTAGGAAAATGAGCGTCTAAGACCGCAATTGTGGATTTCGATCTACAAGACGGTGCTGAGACTTACAGATGGTTTTAAATATGTCCAACAATCTGCTGAGTGGACCAGGACAACAAATTATGCATCAAAACTGTCATTCGGTAGACCTGCGAGCTGATTTTCACCAAAAACCAAAAAATTAGTATTGGTTGCCGTGATTCTATCCCAAACTTTGAAATTTTTACGGAAAGGCAATTTGAAGATAAAATACGTTCAGGAGATTCGTTGTCATCTTTTGGTAACAATTGTCCCTGATCCCGACGGTTCGGAAGAGTTTCATCAGGGAAACTCATTACGTCACCCTAGATCTCGTCTGACACCCGCCGCAGGTGGAGGTGTGAAAATAGTTTTTTGCATTTTTCGCGTCTGCAGGCCCCGGATGTATAAGAAAGGAACAGTTTGCGGTAGATACGGTAACTGGAAGTGTTTAAATCCTATTTTCCGATTTTTTGAACCCTGGAGCATGCAATACCAAAGCTAAAACCCATTTTTTGCTCAATTTGACGTTTGAGATCCCCCGAGTCTGGTGAATGTTCGAAGTTAATGGTGGTCTTAATTTTTGTTTTAGTAGGTTCCTCTGATCCTTTTGGATATTTTCAAAAACATTTCGGACACCTGATGAAGAAACTCCAAGTCTTCTAGCCACATCAACACGTGCACCCCATCTCGAGAAAAGTCGCGATCATGGGTTGGTGTGTAGAAGTCTTCATAATTCTGAACAAAAAACAAAATGATACCAAATGATATAAATCACTGCTTATAGAGGGTCCCTACTTTCTATTAGTTTCGAAAGTTTTCAAAATTATTTTTTGGCGCCGGGCCAAAGAGCTCTCAAAAAAAACGTCCTATCATTATCGCCCACCCTGTAGAAGTTCTAGAAATTTGATTTTTTAACAGAACTCAAGGAAATTTTGCCTATTCACATAATCAACGGAAAATTGGCATTTTTTGAAAAAAATACGTCAGGATAGTGCTGAAACGGATCAACAGCGAACCAACGGCAGTTGAACCAAATTACATGATTTTAGGTCCAATTCCAAGGTTTTCAATATACATACGTCTTCTGTTTGATTGGGAAATTCAACTGACTGCTGACCCAGCCGACCGACCGCCGACCCTGCCTACCGGATAAATGCATTTGCGCGTCAACGTGCCAGAAAGTGTTTGCGTACGCAATCTTCTATTCTACGACACACTATCCAATAAATTTGTTGTGTGTCGTAAAATAAAATGCTTCGTCGTTCGGCGGTTGGTCGCCGGTCAGTGGTCGGCGATTTTTGACCGACCGAAATGAAAGCATTTGGTAGGTTTGGGGTCAGTTTGCTGGTATAACTCGAACTACCGTACGAAAACCCATGAGTACTGTTTCCCGAGAGGATTCCATAGGCAACATTTAAAAGACATTTTGCTCCCACCACCTTCAAACACATGTTATGATTTGAGCTGATTCTGAATAGTCCCGTCCTCATTAAGAAGAATTTCTAAGAATAGCTTCATTAAGAAAGCCAAATGTTCTAGCTTGTTTCAAAGCTCTCAAAGCACTCATCTCGCTCTGAGAACACTCTTGTTTTTTTGGTTGCATGTTTTTTTCTGCCACTAATCAGTTTGATCATTAGTAACCCTATCTGTTTTTTTTCTAAAAATCTTTTCTGTTCTGTCTGAAGGATTCAAACACCGTGGAACCTTTAGAAAAGCAACATACACAGTTGAGATTTTTGGGTTTCCTTGTTGATTTGTTTCCAGATTTCAGATCTTCACTTCCAGAGGATCTACGTCTTCTTCTTCTTCTTCTTCGCTCTTTTCCAGTCTGACTTTCGGTGCTCTTTGGTTGAAAAAAGAAAACTAAACAAGTCTTACTAATACCACCCTTAGAATACTTAATCTTGTTATTTTTTCCTCGTTTAATCCGAATCTATTCAGATCTTTCTTAGCCGTTCCTGTGTCGTCAAAAACCGTTCGTAAATGGTTTGAGTCAAAGAACTTTTTTTGGGATAAATGACTATAAATATATTAACCATTTGCGTATTTGCAGTCTAGGTTAAATATGGATTTCCGGGAGATTTCATTTAAAGCTCATGGCTAAGAAGATGACTATATCTGGAGGAAGGTTTATTTTCAGTGAGTGGACATTATTATCTCCCGGAAGATAATTAAGGGTCTTACTCGAAAAGCTGACTGATTTTGGATATTTACAAAAAAAAAATCGAAAAACTCGAAAATCATTTTTTGAAACTGAAAACTTCCAAGAATACACACCCTGGAAATTGAAAAAAGAAAAATAAAAAACATTAAAAAAACAAAGGAGTGGAGACTACAAAACTGTGTTGGAGAAAGAAATACTGGTTTTGTATGACATCTTCTGGACATTTTCGTAGTGTGAATAAATAACCCACGCAAACATGGAAAATTGAGTCTGGTAATTTTTGCTGGATATGATATATTTTAAAAGTGGCGCAGAATATGGAAATGACTAAAACCGAAAATGTTGTGAAGAGATATAAAAACTGGCATCGCAATCTAGAATGAGTTTAATTTCAGGTGTAAAAATAAGAATTTAAAAAATGGCAAAGTTATTCGAATTCTCGAAAAAATCATTTTTCGGGTAATAGTTTGATATAGGTTTATCTAAAATAGGGGTAATTGAATCTTGACTTTTCTTCAGAGTTTCTTGGAGTTGTAAATCATCTGCTACACATAATGACCAGTTACGAAATGTGTCAAAAAACTGATTGTGTGTAATTGCAATTTAATTTGGGAATATTTAGTACCCTCACACATACAGACAAACTTCCGCAGCGTCACAATTTGTTTTCGAGTCAAGCATGTCCGGTACACAGTTGATCCGATTTTGATAGCTGGAGGATTTGCAGATCAAAACTTTAAGAAGAATTTCACAGGCTAATGAAAGTAAAGCATTTTTTCGGAGTTGGTCGTAGTTTGAGCACTTCTCGCTTGTTGTGAATTTTCGATGAAACCAACCTATTTGAGAGTTTCTGAAGTTCTAACGCAGCTACCGTGAATCTTTTTATAGAAAGACCACACACAATCAAGTTTAAGTTCAATTATCTCCATTCCTTTTGCAAGGTATCAACAATATGTCAACTAACAAAAATATTTTGGTTTAATAATAAACAATTCATCAGTTGAAAACTTTTTGATATCTTTCTCAGGAACAGAGAAAAGTTGGCTCAAAGTTGAAAGTTACGGGTTTTCTATTAGAAGTTATACGGTAACAGCTTCCAGAAATCCAGTTCTATAATTTTGCATCTTTCTTATTTTTGAACTTCTATACTCCCAAAAATTCAAACCCGTTGGGTGTACATGCCTGTACAGAAATCACTCATTTCTCATTCTGTCGAAATTCACACATCGTTTTTCTTATTCTTTTTATGTCTTACAATGTACCCTAACTTTTCTGTCGCCCGACGCCTATTTTAGCAGGATTTTCGGATAAACTTGAATGTGTTCCATTCATGGATATACATAGGAACTAAAAACTTCCCGAATTCCACATTTGCAAATTAATCCTGAAAAAAACATGTGTAGGTTTACTCCGATCACAGTTCTGGATTTCTGTATTCAAGAGGTTTGCGTGAAAATTTAAAAATGAACGACTTCCGGCGAATCCGTCACATCCTTCCTGTCGACTCTGTTGGACCCCCGCATTTCGATACGAGTTAACACGATTAGATGACTGATATAGAAATTTCGAATTCTTTATTTCAATTATTTTTTAAGGAAAAAGGGACCGACACGAAATACAAAACGATGTTTGTGTTAGTGTCAGAAGCTATGACTCCGACATGTCGGCAATTTAATTTGTACTCGGAACCAAATGATTCACAGGATTTCTATATAGGATCACTGGCTTGGGGAGAATGCTAAGTAGCTGGATTTTCGAAATTGATAAGCAACGTCTGTTATCAGTTTCAAGCAAATAAACTATAAAGAAAGTTTCAGTGGAAGAAAGGGAAGTTTTGTGCTGGAAGAGAAAAGTTCAGAAAAAAATGGAAAGTTCAGAAAGAACTTGAGCACAGATCAAATAAAATGACGGGGACATCCTAGGATTAGATTGTGCAGGGCGAAGGAATATCAGCGAAATTCTGAAGTTTTCTAGGCCATCTGCATGTCCGTGTGGACTCCACGGCCAGCCACCTTAGAAACTGAGGATCTTGGAAATTTGAAACTTTGGGATATTGAGATTCTGGGTTTCTGGGATTTTGGGATTCTGGAAATCTGGAATTCTGGGGTTCTGGGATCTTGAAATCTTGAAATCTTGAAATCTTGAAATCTTGAAATCTTGAAATCTTGAAATCTTGAAATCTTGAAATCTTGAAATCTTGAAATCTTGAAATCTTGAAATCTTGAAATCTTGAAATCTTGAAATCTTGAAATCTGGAAAACTGGAAATTTGGAAAACTGGAAAACTGGAAAACTGGAAGTCTGGAAAACTGGAAATCTGGAGATCGCCAGCAAACGGTCAATCCAGTATTTTAGCAGCAAGATGTCGTAATGCTCTGAAAATCTCAGATAGCAGAGCTCCAATGAACTTTGTGTGCTCTGTTCGAACCATCTGATCTTCTCTAAAAATAATTCCTTCTGGTGGTTTTGGATCTCTGTTCTTTCCTCTTTTCACTATATTATTCCAGGGTCACCCCACTCTCTTCATCCCATTCCAAAATCATATGTTTCCAGTCGCGTCCTCATTTGACTATTCCTAAATATAGCATACATAATGTGTACTACATTTTGACGTAGACATTCTAGATGAGGTCTCGTCGTCGTCGCCATCTTTGTATTCTTCCAAAAAAGACAAAAACCGAGGGAAAAAGAGTGCAACGAAGGAGAAATCGCTTCGACGACGTTTGGTCTTGGAATCGAGACGGTTGTCGAAAATCAGGCAAACTTCCACTTCATCCAAGTACGTCACAAATGACCGCCAAAAAAAGTGAATCGACAAAAAATTTGAAATTCTCGAAAACAAAATAGTGTACGTAGTAACGACAAACTATTTGAGGGATCATCTTTATTTAGAGAGGAAGTGTCTGACCTGGATAACCCCGTCGGGTAAATCTCAGTTTATCTCATTTGTCATTATTATAACACACTGTTTGACGTAAATTTCCTCTGGAGCACATTTCTGTCACAATTTGTACACGTGTGATTAACAAGTCTTTATCGTACACGTTGAGGAGAAAAAAATGTTGCGGTACACGCTTTTTATCAGCGAAGAAAATTCGGGGGATGAGTAAGAAAAGAAGGGACTGAGGAAATATTGAAATTTGGTCGAAAATCTGACGTTGCACAGGAAATGATTCTGTAAATGTAGTTTCGAAATTCACGAATTATTTGCACTAGTGAAATCATTGATAATACGAAAAGGTTCTGAAATAACTTGAAATTGAGCAGAAGGGGCTGAAAAGTTTGGAAATATTTTCAAAAAGGATTACAGTAGGGGGAACAAATTTGAAAATTCGAAGGATTAGTGTAGGGGGGGAAATATTCGAAAATGAAACTGATTACTGTAGGGGAAAATTATATGAAAACGAAAAGGATTACTGTAGAAGGAAATGTTCCAAAATGAAAAAGTGTGGATTCTGTGGATCATCCCGATAATGTACTTTTTTGGAGAAAAACTTCAGATATATTTTTAAATCTCAATTATCATTCCTCATCTGCGGTTTTCTTTTAATTTAAAACAATTTTTATGCAGTAAAAACCCAATTTCTCAATTTTCCACTAGTTGTAATTACCGTAAACACTCTAATAGAAGGTCACCTGAACCACCATCTTTGAGTTTTTTTATACCTCGGTTTCTGTGAGAGATATAAAATAGTTATCAACTGAGAAAATGTTCATCATAATATCAACCATATTTTGTCATCTGACCACTCTCTGATAACTTCCACAGAAACCAAGATATGTGATCTTAAAATTGGTTATGATGATTCGAGTGTATACGGTAATCAATTCTGTTGACATCTGATCTCATATTCTTACTCTATTCCCCACTTGCTATACTTTTTTTTTTCGAACATTTGCAATCTCATCAAAACACGAATACCATCCTGTGAATCATACTAGAATTGGTTCAAGTCTCTCTTTTTATTAACCTAATTTCCAGATTCTAAAACAGAGATCACTTTTTTATCGGAGAAAATGAAGCTAATGACTCGTCGAATTTGCCAACTGATTGACATTTGTCGCGGAATCCGTAATAAAGCACTGTTTTTTCAACAGAACCCCACTCCAAAAGATTCAACAGCTGACCCTTTTTTTTTCGATAAAAACTGCATTAGAAGTATTTTTCTTCAACAACTCTTCCTGATTATTTCCCGCATAGTCAGCACATTTTCCATTTAATATCACATGCCCTTCTTTTCTTTCAATTATTGCAACATATTGTTTGTTTCGCTGGCAAATAAATATGTGGTCAGCTGGCTGACATACTCAAACGAAAAAAACAAGAAATTTCAGAATGCCATCTAAAAGTGTCTAGTTGACACGAGGCGGCCGGTGGCGCCCATTGTAAGACACGTGGGGATTATTAATCGACAATTGATAACCTACTTTTCTTGTGATGAAAGTGAATTTTTTGATGAACTCAGCACAATTTCAGAAGGTTTTGGGCTAGAAAGATAAGCAACTCAAAAGTGCGTTGTGTGACGACTACAAAACCAAACTTTCCGGTTCTGTAAATAAACAAGAGCATCAAAAATTAAAAATGTTTATTGGAAAGAGGGGACTGTTTTCAGAGTATATAAGTAGAGATATTTTTTGAATTTTCTGGATTCGAGTCATTGTTCAGGAGTCTTTTTTGTTTTTCATTGAATTACCGTGAGGCCTGTAATAAAAAGGCTCCGACACTACCAACTTTGAGCTCAATTATCTCTATTCCTATGCGAGATATCAAAAATGTGTTTACTGACAAAACATTTCTAATGTTGAGATAAACAATTTATCAATTGACAACTTTGTTATACCTTTGACAAGAACTGAGAAAAATTGGCTCAAAGTTGAAGGTAAGGGGGCCTTCTATTGCAGGTTTTATGGTATATAATCTTGAACTTTATTTGTGTTCAATTGGGACATGTCCTGATTTTATTCGAATGAAGGTTTCAACTCATTTTTGTCTTTTTTTTTTAACTGACAGACGTTCCTGGTAGAAATTTAAACTTTATCAGAATATATCCATCTAAAAACAAAATACAAAACAAGCCGAAAAAAACGACACGGGGAACGACTTCTGTATTTTACTTCTTTTCTGAAAATTGTATTTTATTCAAAATGACCGGAGTCAAAGTGACGAGGGAACCATCAGAATCAAATAGAGGGTGGTACATAATTACCCTGACTAAAGTTTGTAGTCTCATAAAATTTTAGTAAAGCGTTGTGCTGGGCTCAAATTTGAAGTACAAAAACTCAAAAATCTGATCCATGAACTGGCAAAGTTTCAAATTATTTGATCAAGTTTGAGTTGAGTTATCGCTTGTCAAAAATGCTCAATCTCATGAAAATCACAACTTCTTGCAAGAAACATTTCATCTTTGGACAATCATAACAATACCGAGACTTGATGAATCGCTTTGAAAATTTCAGTAGCTTTGAATCAAACGTAAAATTATAATTCTACCAATTTTTGATTTCCAAAATTCTTATGTCTAAAGATATACCCGTTTTTAACAGTCCGGGAATTGGTATCCTGTATTTTGTGAGTTCCGTACGATACCTGGAATCAACCAAGTATATTGGTTGATTCAGGAAGCAAAAGATCAGTGAGCAAACCCATTTTGTTGTTTCTGGATTCCTCGAGTTTTACTAATTTTTTCCATGTTTTTCTACCTCTGTTTTCATGCAGATCAAAAAAGATTTTTCAAAAGTCTGGAAGGAAATGTTCTGTTTTATATGGCTTCATGGATTGCAGGTCAATGGATAGAAATAGTCGCAAATTATATTTTCAGCTGGGAAAGGGATTTGAAGTTTAGATACATCTGTAAAACCGGGATTGAATGAAGAATCAATCACAGCTTTGCATGTTTTTATGACTACCGTATTCCAAAGCTTAAACTTTTGTGGGAGTGCAATTTACTTGCATGGTGACGCATAATTACCTGGACCGATAAAAACTGATATATCTTTAAACATAAGTGTCTCAGAGGCACGAAAATTGGTAGCAATATAATTTTACGTTTCATTCAAAGCTACTGAAATTTTGAAAGCGATTCCTCAAGTCTATGTATTGTTATAATCGTCCAAAGATGAATAGTTTTTGCACGCTGTTGTGATTTTCACAAGATGAAGCAACCTTGACAAGTTGAAACTTGGCCAGTTTACTGATGAATAAAGTACAACTTTTTACTCAAATTTTGTTCTAGTACAAATATTAGTCCGGGTAATAATGCGCCAATCTTTAAATTCCTGCAAATGTTATACTACGGTCCAGAGCCTGGTCTTATGATCGAATTAAGGCATGATAAAACTTCTTGAAGGTTTGAGCTTCTCATGATTTCACTTTCCTGCATTAGCTATCGTTTTAGAGACAGACCACCAATCATTCCATATTTTTCTCCAGCCTTTCTGACATTTTGGATGATAACATACTAATCGAATCAATTCGAAAAGTCAGGATTATCACTGAAAATACTTTAGTTTTAATGTTAAAAATCCATGCTCCAGCATGTTTACTTCCATACTCATGCTTCTGATTTTTCCGATCATCTAATGCTCTCTTCGAATAACAGGAAGCATACTGAAAGACACTAAACTTGTATTAGGGCTTCTCTAGATTTGTTTGTGCAGAATCAAAAGAACATTCAAGTACTTTTGGGAATGGGAAAAAGGGACTGGCAAAAAATATACACGAATCGATATTATTAATTATTAAAATTTAAAAATGGGTCGTTTGAGCAATTGTCGATGGTTGTATTCTCAACGTATTCAGAAGGTAGAATTATCCAGCCTCCGGTGCTTGATTACAAGACACTTGAGTTACAATTCTGGATACTCCACCACTCGTGTAAACCCAATTTCCATCCACACAATTCAATAGAGCATTGACAGTCTGAATAAACGATTTATAACGCGTATAGATCCTTTGTAGATCTTCTTACCCTTCCCATATTTGCATTTTCAGCAGGACCTCCTTGATTATTATTGAACTGCATAAACGCAATAAAGTTTACATCAGCTGTGCACGTGGCTGTCAATGTCAAACATCCAGAAGCTGGATCATTTCCCTCACTGCAATTATTGAATTAGGAATAATAAACCTGTATTGAATCCTTACATTCCCATTGTATCAATTTCAATTCCTCCATCATCTTGAGCAAATGTTACTTGACCGACAGTACAACTTGTACAGCCTGAAAAATTGGATTGTTACAAAAAACTAAGAAAGTTGAGACTTGAGAGTATGGTTAATAAAAAAATTTCCCAGTCTAAACTGAATTTTACTGGAATCTGAAAGAAAATACCGAAAAACTCTAATAGAATACCATCATATATCGTAAAACCGGTAATAGAAGGACACCCGTACTAGAAGAGCCCTCTGTGAAGAAGGACCCCTTCAAAGCGTGTTTTGGAATTTAAAAGTTTCCGTTCGTCTTCAATGAAAGATATTTCGGAAATTCCACATTTTAATAGAAATTGTGTTACAACACTATTTTTTAAAGGAAAAACATGTTCATTTATAGTGAAATTGGTTGATTTTCATGAATAAATAATGTAACTTTTTACTTTTTTAATTTAAACAAATGGGCCAATATTTCTTTGGAAAATTTTTAACTCTGGGAGGCGGGCCGGGCCGTTGCGACTATGCTCTAATTGAAGGTCCACTGTAATAGAAGGGCCCTCCGGTGGTACCTCAGAACAACAGAAGAGCCGGCCTTTCTAATACATGTTTCACGGTGCTTGCACTTTGTGCTCAATTATCTCAAGTTCTATAAAAGATATCAAAATTTTATCAACCACTAAAATGTTGGTGGTAATATGACAAAAATGTTATCAGTGAACGGATTTTTGTGTGCCACCATGGAACGCTTAGAAACGAATTGCTGTAAAATCTCTAATACAAGAACACCTTTAAAATTTTAAAACTTTAAAATTTTTTGAATAACATTCCTCGTTCAAAAAACATGAGGGCGACGAAAAATTTTGTGATATTAACTCCAAAGAAAGCTGTGGAGACCCTGCTGTCTAACTGGTACCGGTATTTGGCTGCTAATCATATGAATAATTATATCAATTATTTAAAAGCGTAGAACGAATCAAATTCGAAAATTAGGCCATCCGGAAATCCTAAAAAAAACCATGTTCCTTACCTGTTGCAGCTGTCGTTGTCGTCGCAGCTGTAGTTGTGGTTACTGTAGTTCCAGGACTGGTTGCTACGCAAGGCAAAGCAACATTCACAAGACTTGATAATGATAAGGAATAGAGAAGAATACTGCATTTGACCATCATATGTAACTGTAAGGCCAATGTCAGTGGACATTCATTATACAGGAGAGGGCAATTGAGTGCGAATTGAGTGAAGAGGGGTGGTACACGAGAAGCTGGTTTCTCGCCAAAAGGATAATTGGAAGGAGGAGCTTTTTCCGTTCGAGATGTTGATGATGAAGATGGAATAGAAGGGGGCGAAACGAACGGTAGAGGTTCGGATAGAAAAAAGCGGAAAATTGACTGTGGTTTATGGTCGGTAAAACGCTAATTAAGCTTTCTTTTCGTAGATTCGATTCGTGTAGAGAAATAGGATATCTAGGCAACAGTCTATTTAAACAGGCTGTTGAAGCCGGAGGCAAATAAGAAGATCTTGAAGATAAAAATATTCAGGATGACTTTTGAAAATATGCACAAGGAAGCTTATTGGAAAGTGAACACGATTTGAGTTTTCAGTAAACTCATGTTAAAAAACTTGAAAATACCGTATGTCTCCGAATAGGAGCCCACACACCGGCAACTTTAGGCTGAATTATCTCGTTTCCTGTAAAAGATATCAAAATTTTTCCAACTGATTAAATATATGTGGTTTTATAGTAAATAATTTATCAGTTTACAAATTTTTATAGCTTTCACAGGCGTCGAGATAATTGAGTTCAAAGCTCGGGTGGCTTTCTATTAGAATGTTTGCTATATTTTTTTAATTTTCAGAATCGTTGGATATATTTGTTGGATTGAAAAAATTAATCTGTAATTAATGAAAAAGATGAGTTTTACCACAAGTTAATCAGACAGAAGACAAAAAACCTTTTGAAAATTTAGTTTAAAATAGTATTAACTGGAATCATACAGAAAAAAAACTGAATAGATGTTTATTTGATTTTTCTGAGTACTCGAAGAAAAATGTATCAATTCATTTGCCATCTAGAAACTGCGAATCTCAATGTTCTATAATTTTTAAATAGTTTCTTGGCGACAATCGCGTTCAGCTGGTACACCTGTCTTGAATGAGGCTAGTATGAAGAAATTTTTGACTATTAAAAAAAACGATATATTTTTAGTTCTTGGAAATCAAAAAAAAACATAAAGTTAGCTGTTTCTTATTGAACGAAATACCGTAAAAATTATAATAGCATGCTCCCAAGTCGTCAACTTTGAGCTGAATTATCTCAGTTCCAGTAAAACATATAGAAAATTGGTCAACTGTTAAAATGTTCCTTAAAATATCACCAACATTTTGTTAGTTGATTACTTTTTGATAACTTTAACAAGAACTGAGTTATATGAGCTCAAATTGACGGTTCGGGGGGACGTTCCCTTGGAGAAACTTCGAAACATGTTAGGAACTTCAAGGAATTGAAGTTAAAAGAAAATTAAGTAAATAACATATTTGGAATTTTGAGTTTTTTAAGTATCAATAAAAATTTTAAGTAAAAACAAAAACACGGCTCGTTGAATACTTCAGGGAAGACACACAAAGTCTGGAGAAAAAAAAAGAGAAAGCACAAGTAATAATAATAGAATTGTGGAAGAACAAAAGAATGGGAAAACTACTTGAAAAACTGTGTTGAGTATGGTCGAACAGAGAAAAATGTCTACCGTATTCACAATAATAGAATCCCACCCAAACTTTGAGCCCATATATATCTCATTTCTCGTAAGAGATATCACAAAGTAGCTCATTGACCAAATATTTATCTTAACTTTAAAAAAATTTTGACAGTTTACTACATTTTGATATCTTTTACAGGAATTGAGATAATTGAGCTCAAGTTTAAGGGTTGGATGAGCTTCTATTAGGGGAAATACGGTAATACGTTATGGGAAATTATCCAATTCCACAGTTGAGTGATATCCAAAAATTCATAATGGAAGTGATCAACGAAACAAGAAAGATCATGTACAGATGAATGACAAGAAGAGGAGGTTCTTAACATAATGAGTTGAAACAAACAAGAATTTCCATCAAACATCTTTTATAGACATCCGATGTTTGCAATCTGAAGCTAGTCTGGAGACAAGATTGGAGATGATAAAATATAAAAAAAACTTCTGTCTGGAGATTTTCGAATCGGCAGCAGGCAGAAAATGGATTCCAACAAAACAAGGCAGGTAAAGAAGACCTATGAATAACAAAATTCTCGGAGATGTAATCCTTTTTCCGGCACAACTGACATTCCATTACCCACAATAATGAGGCTATGCAAGTGGCTGCGAACAACATTTCAACGGGGCTAGCACTAGCTTTATTCGAGAAAATCGGGCGTGACGTATAAAGCAAAAAGGTATTCAAAAGAGAATCAAAGGATCAAATAAAAAAAAGGAATCATTGTTTGGGAAACGAAGTGATTTGATAAGGGAGTTTATGCTTCATTAAAAGAAGATGCTGATCGTATTAGGTTGGCGGGAAAGTCTTTGTCACTCTGTTTGTTTAATCACTGTTCTCGTATATGGAGGCTGTGTATGATATCGACTTTAGTGAATAACAAGGTGATAAGAACCTTCCATATAAACAAGTCCCCATCTCCTTCCCTGCTCCTCATCTGTAATTGAAACGATATGTTTGTTCCCACTGCTATTCACATCAGACATGTTTTGATTTACCTCTTCCTATCTCACACCACGATGAAGGATTCGGAAACTTTCTTGAAGAATGTGTACAACACACATGCCCCTCACTACAATACTATTCGCAATTGGTTCCATCGTTTCGAAAAAGATGACTTCTCGCTCGATGAAAAGGATCGCTCTGGGAGACCCCGTGAGTTGGATTTGGGCAAGCTGAAGCACGCATTGCAATCGGATCCATTTCAATCTAGCCGTGAACTAGCTGTCACATTCGGAGTTCACCATAGCACAGTCCTTGAAGGTTTGAAGTCTCTTGGAATGAGAAAACTTTTTGGTCGATTCATACCTCATCACCTGACTCAAGCCAACCTTGACCGCCGAGTCGACGATTCGATTACTCTTCTCACTCTCCACGCGGGCGATCGATGGCTGGACCGGCTAATAACCGGAGATGAGAAGTGGGTCTTCTACGATAATCACCACAGGAAATCCCAGTGGGTTGGAGAAGGAGAGAGCCCACAGGATGTCCCCAAACCCGACCTTCATCCGAAAAAAGTTATGCTCTCTGTGTGGTGGGGAGTGGACGGCCCCATCTACTGGGAACTTCTGCCCGAGGGCAAAACAATAACTGGAGACCTCTACACTACTCAACTACGAAACCTCAAGAAAGCAGTCGACCGTTCGGCCCTGAAAGACAAGAAAGTGTACTATCAACATGATAACGCTCGCCCACATGTTTCGAAACAAGTGAAGCATTAGCTGATGGGATATGGATGGAATGTTCTCCCTCACCCCCCGTATTCTCCTGATCTTGCTCCTTCCGACTATTGGTTATTTGGCGATATGACACGTGCCTTCGAAGGAAGAAGCTTCAATTCCCGTGGAGCGGTCGAAGCGGCACTCAAACAATACTTTGCCTCACGCCCGGCTGGATTCTACCGCAATGGAATCCATAAATTGAGGGAACGTTGGAGACATGTTGTTGATAATGATGGACAATATAATTAATTATTCGGTTATTTTTTCTTTGAGAAATAAACTATTGAAAAAGTGACAAAGACTTTCCCGCCAACCTAATATTATGATCATTGAAATACAAAAGGACACTTTTCGATTTTCTTCCGGATTGAAGACAAAGGAAGTGTTTCAATTTTTATGACAATAAAAGGGGGAATCATTTAATAAAACAGTGTGGATACCGTATTTCCTCTAATAGCAATCTACCCAAACAGTCATCTTTGAGCTCAATTATCTCAATTTCTGTGAATGATATCAAAAACTTGTCAACTGATAAAATATTGGTGATATTATGATAAATAATTTATTAGTTGACCACTTTTAGATATCTTTCACAGAAAATGAGATATATGGACTAAAAGTTGGAGGTTTGGGTGGGCTTCTATTAGGCGAGTACGGTATTTGTTCAAAACTTTCCTGAAGAAAAACTTTTGCATAACCTAAGAATCTCTTGCGTTTTTCTAAATTTTATGATTCAAACAGTTCCAAAATTCTAAAACAGTCAACTTAAATTACATAAACACCGATTTAGGTAACAGAAGAATATAGAAGTTACTGTAGTTTTTAAAAACTTTCTGGAGAGTTCAACAAAATCAAAAAAGATGGAAATTGACCTCGAAAAGGCCTGAAGTAACCTTATAGGGAAATGGCAACATACTACGACTTTTCACGTGTATATCGCATTCATTCATCTCTTGACACTTTTAAAGGATAAGGGTACTTAATAGATGGGGATGTTGTAAAAAGATCGAAACGTTCAAGGAGGTAAAGAGAGGATTGAAAACGGACGAAACATTTTCGGGAATCGGATGGTTTGATCTGTATTATTATTATTACGGACTTCATATGTTTGACAGAGACAAGCTTTATTGAGTTTTTTCTAATATGGTGTTAGGAAAATGGACATCAGAAATACGAGAAAGATCAGGCGTTCTCTTCAGAAGAAGTGTCCGAAATTGCAGATGGAGAAACGTCACCATTTCCAATTGTGGAAATTGGTCTCTGACTCTTGAACCATTCATCAATGAGACATTCCGAATGCTCCCAAAGTTCATCTTGAAGCGAGATATCTCTGGCAATGTCAGCGTCCAAACTCTTCTCATCGTCCCAACAAGATTCCCAGAACTTTCCAGAAAGTTCAGCTACATCTGGATGAGCAACACAGTAGACACTTGTGGCGGCTCCTTGAGCGAGAGTTTTTGTGAATGGCTTTGAGATGACGTTCCAGAATTTTCCAAAGAATCCGAAGCCACGAGAGATATCTGAAAACAAAAAAGTGGAAGTTGAAATTGGATATCCAAATTTTACCAGTTCCAATCATAGTTCCAGGGTGAATAGCATATGTACTGATTCCGTTGCTGACATATTCATCTCTATGAATTTTGAATGCAGTCAGAACTTGACACATTTTTGAGTAAGCATACAATCTAAAAAGTAGCAAAATCCATGAGATACAGTACCGGTCAATGAGATATAGAATATTGTATTTTTCAGTTGATTATTGGCCATTTTGACCATTTTCTGGAGCTCGGCTGTCAGGTTTCGGATCTCTTTGAAAATGTTGGTGAAACAGACATAGATAAAAAAAATGTTGGTGAAACAGACATAGATGTAAAACAGACATAGATTAAAAACTTAGTATTCACAGATTTTTTTGAAAATTCGTAGTTTTTTCAGATATTTGCCGATTTCTGAAAGATGTCTGTCTTTTTCTTTTTTTTTCAGTACAAAACAGGTGTCTTACAGAAATTGGCAAATATATGAAAAACCAGGAATTTTCATAAAATGCTGTGAATACAACGTTTTTAATCAAGGTCTGCTTTATAACCTCCAAACTTTTCAAACCGATCGGAACCTTGACAGCTGAACTCCAGACTCCTGAAAATGGTCAAAATGACCAAAATAAACTGAAAAATAAGTTTTTCTATACCGTAAAACCTGTAATAGAAGGGCCTCCTTATTATCAGGTTTGAGCCAATTCATTTTGGTTTCTAAAAAAGATATCAAAAATGTGTCAATTGTCAAAACGTTAGTGATATACTGATAAACAAATTATCAGTTGAAAACTCTTTGATATCTTTCAAAGGAGCTGAGATAAATTAGTTCAAAGTTAACAGATAAGGGCCCTTCTAATTCAGGTTTTACGGTATCTTATTGGCCGGTAATGTGTATCATGGTAGACAAACTTGTAATAGAATTCGTTAGCGTTCTCTGGACACAATTTCTTCACTTTCTCATTTCTGGTCATTTCAGCTTTCAATCCGGTATGACTGCTGGATACAGAGGAAACGAAGACAATTCTGGATGGAGAGGATTGACGAAGAGCCGGAAGAAGTTCTTTGACCAAAAGGAATTGTGCCAGATGATTAACTCCACAATGAGATTCAAAATTATCAAATGTCATTTTTGTATTTGGAGCAAAAACACCAGCATTCAGAATCAATCCATGAAGTGGCCAATGCTTGGAAAGGAACACATCTGCTGCTGCCTTTGCTGATTGCAGAGAATTCAGGTCGCATGAAATGAAATCGATTTTTACGTCGGATTGCTCATCCTCAATTCTCTTTTTCAACTTTTCCGATTCCACAATGTTTCTATTGAACATCACAACATGAGCACCTTTCAAAGCCAACGCTCTAGCTGTTTCGATTCCGATTCCAGATGTTGTTCCAGTGATTGCATATGTTTTTCCATTCAGATCCAAATCCTTCAACACCTGGATAACAAAAAAAATTTTGTGGGGGTTGAAGATTCGACAGAAAAACCAACATCCATAGCACTGCTTCGAGAATGGAATTCTCTTTTTCTCCCATATCCTTCTCCTCTTGCCTCTGCCAATTCGTCATCCATAATTTGAAATCTGAAAGCGGAAACTCTATCAAAAAACAATATTGAAATTCTAGCGGGGTTCCGTTGTTTTCGAGGAAAATCACCTTCGGTGTGGATTCGTGACGGCTACAGCTGTCAGCCCGTCACTGGCAACGTTTGTGACAAGAAATGAACCACGACGAGGTTTTTCTAAAAATGAGGAGGAGGATTTCAGCAAGGCACTATTCTGGGGGAGCTGGTTCTACATGTTTCAGATTTCTCATGAAAAACTAAGTTCCATTATTCTGGTACAAATAATCATCGGATCTGTGGAAGAGGAAAGCCGGTTGCGAAGGTCCCGCAACGACAACTACAGTAACCTAAAATTAGTTTATTTTCCGTATTTTTCCCTTTTTTTCACTGCTTTTCGTCGATTTTTCATTCAGTGATTTTTCTGCAAACAATTCGGAAAAAAATGTTTTGATAGTGAAAAATTGATTGAGAAAAATTGAAAAAAAAATCCGGAAAACAACTATGTTTTTAGGTTAAGGTAGTTGTCATTGTGGGACTTTCGGAACTATTATTCAGGTGTTAAAAAATCGGAGCTGTGGAAGAGAAACGCCGGTGGCCGTAACCGAAGGTCCCACAACGACAACTACCGTAACCTAAAAATATTTATTCACCGTTTGCTCGTTTTACACAGTTGTCCTTCGAGTTTTCTGTTATTTTTTTGCAAACATATAAAAGACACACAATTTTTGTGACTCTCGGCAGTTTAATTTACGGCGTTGTTTTTGGAACGCCGTCTATATGCGCTTTCATGAGACGCCCGTAATTCTACTGTAAAGTTATCGTTTGGTCTCGACGCGAAAGCTTCGAATTGAACAACTGAATCGCCACAATTGACTGAAAACGCACGAAATATATTCTTAAAATCCAAAAATATTATTAGGTTACGGAAGTTGTCGTTTTGGAACCTTCGGCCACGGCCACAGCTCCTATTTTCTTGTACAAAATAACAACTAATCCGAAAATTCCGAACAAACCGAAAAAGTCAGCAACACAGGTGCCAATAATATCAGGTGAAGTCATTGTTCCCTTCAGAAGTTTTAATGACAACTAAGAAATTTCCAGAAAACAACTTAATTAACCAGTTACTGTCCCTCCCCCCGATTACAATCTATTCCCTCATCAATTTCAGCTGACTCCTCCTTTCTTCTATTTTTTTTTTCCTATTTTTAGCTAGAGCGCGCATTTAAGATTGATGTCCTCGAAAACAACGGAAAGAGAAGTATCAAAAAAGTTGTTGTAAGAAGAGGAAACGAAAAACGAAAATTGGGGGCGAAATAGAGGTAAGACACTGGCCGATAGGCATCTCTTCCGAGTGTCCTTGCGGGAGAAACGGAGACTGTAATGTACTGTCTCTGCGTCTCATCCGAATAGAGAGCAGCAAACAATTTCGGAATATTTTTTGGTTTTTTCTTCTTTTTTCCTTGTGACTCAATTTTGTCCCGAACGAGAGAGAGGGGGAAGGGAAAGGTAACGAATTGTTCTTTCAATATGAAGGAGAAGAAGAACGGATTCTGAATAAGTTAAAACGATACATTAGTTATTTTAGAATTGAATTTCAATACGGGGGATAATTGTACAGAATACTTGGAAAGAGAATCGGATAAATATATATGAAAGTGAAAGTGGGTAGATGGAGTGAATGGGTAAAGAGGTAGAGATGCTATAAAAATACATTTTAAACAATGGAAAGTGTGATATCACTTCCAGCCGTCGGTGTGCCATTTCTTGAACTTGTTCCATTCCATATGGATCTTTTTCTGGTGTTCACAGTCGATTTTTCTCATTTTCTTTTTTGTTTTCCGTTCAACAGGAGCGTTTCGGAGTGACGTTTCACCTGGAATTAATTTTTTTTTTAAATTCTATTTCGATAGGACTAGGAAAACGTACCGTTTCTTTGCAAGTCTTGAAGAACTTCAATTCGTTCAGTCATCGCGTCGATTTTTTCGAGAATTGCTCGTAGAGCCTGATACTCATCTCTCTTCAAGAATTGTTGGGTCATAGCCAAGAGTTTTTCCTTTTCAGTGCGTGAATCCATCATCTCTGACATGGATTTATTCTTCGACAGAAGACATGCTTCTTTGTACCAACGGATAAATTCGTTGATTTTGTCATGTTCGAGAACAGTGTTTCTTTTTGCTTTCCGAATTCCAAGCAGCCGGATGTAGTGTCTCAGGCGAGCAAACTTGATATCGTTCTCCCAATCCAATCTCTCATCAACCTGTGGCGGTGCAGCGGAAATCGTAAGTCGGCTGATGAGTTGTTCTGCTTCATTGAACCACTCGGTTTCAAACTCTTCTCGCTCAATATTGTATCCAAGTAAATTGAGCTCCGTGCTTTGTCTTATTTTCGGACGATCTGACTTGGAAACACCATTCTCATGAATCAATCGAGGGAAATCTTGTCTCAACAGCTTGACTTCGTCGGAGGAACAGATTCCACGCAGAGTTGCCATTTTCAGCTTGTTTTCAACCATATTTTGCTCTCGGTTCATTTTCTTGCGGAACTCGCTCAGTCGTCGTTCCTTTTTCGACATCATGAGCCTCTTCCTCTTTCTTCGTCGGGTACTTGGTGTAGCTGCTCCTTTCTTCGGCTTCTTATCTTGCTCATCCTCCGAAAATTCTGGACAAGTTTCGAATTCACTAGCAGCCTGATCTTCGTCCTCTGTGTCGCGTTCTAGTCGTTCATTATCGGAGGGTGTTTTCTAAAATATAGAAGGGAATGCTAATATAAACATTATAGAAAACTCACCTCTGAGTCGGTACTAGATTCTCTAATGACTCGTGTGGTCTTCTTCTTTTTCGGGCTTGGCGGCCCATTACGACGAGTGCTACTTGATGGCTCGGGTGTCTCCTCGTTATCGCTAACGTCTGATCCTACTTCCATCTTCACTTCCAGTGTCACCGATTTACGAGATTTTTTATCGTCCGGATCCAGTGGATCTACCTCCAACACGGTGTGATATTGACCCTTGAGAGCTTGAGGGCGTTCATATTTGATTTCTATTTCGTTGTCGATGCATCTGTAAATCACAGTTTCAATGGAAAAAATTAAAAAACTATAATGAAACTCACTTTTGGATATACTTTTCCAAAATCTGTTGAACTTTGGCTCCGAGTTTAGCATCGTGAACGTCGAGATTTTCTCCGGAATCCCGATAAGCGTCAGCTATCAGCAACATTCTTTCAGTGGATTCCAAACAGCTCTTCTGTAGTACACTGTCCAGTGTTTGATTGATGCTCATTTCATACTTTGTCTTTTCCCAATGTGCTTTTTTAATTGAATACTGCCCGATCCATCCGCGTACAAAGTGTTTTTCAAAGTAGTCCTTGCAATGTTGCCCGTCTCTCCGCCCGCGGCCAATGCTCTCGGCAATCTCTCCCCAGTTGCCCATTTTAAACTTATGAGCAGCTTTCAGCAACTCGAATTCGTCTTGATGGGTCCAAGTCATTCCATCACCATCTTCGTATGGTTTCACGAGCTCATAGTTGTGTCCTCGCTTATGTGGTGAAGATTCGGCGCCACATTGGAAGCACTGTAACGAGTTATTTATTCAGCAAATTTTCAAAGTACAAATACTACTCACAAGCATACAGACGCTGACTGGACACTCATTACATTTAACATGTATAGTTTCCGTCAATTGCAATGTACAGCTGAAGCACGTTGGTGGCTCTGAACTATCGTTGGGCATATCACCTGTAAAATATCGATTTCGTTAAAAAAAATCTTAATAGATTTTAGAGATTCATCTAAATGCCCTCCTTCTTTTTCTCATAAATTGTACGAAAATCGATAGAAAAAGGCTTCTTTTTGAATGCTAGCACTGGCAACGACACTCCGTCATTACGCATGCGCGCGTTGTTTATCGTAAATACTACCGGCTCCGAGCGGACGAATAATTTTTTTTTCGAATCAACGCCTTCGGACTTCTCACTCATTATCGATTTCCTTTTCAGAAATCCTTATCAAGAATCACAAACATTCACTATTGATACCGAAATAGCAATCAAAAATTCATCATGGTGGTTAGTTGTTCTTTTTTGTTGAACATTTCAACCTAGTTATATTTTTCAGCTGCCTCTTTCACTTCTGAAGACCGCTCAAAATCATCCGATGCTCGTAGAGCTGAAAAATGGAGAAACCTACAATGGACATTTGAAGGCTTGCGATGCATGGATGAACATTCACCTCGTTGATGTCATTTTCACATCCAAGGTTTGTTTTCAAATATAACACTATTCAGTGGCGAAGCTTGAATGACATTTTATCAAAAAATATTTTGACAAAAAATTTTTCAGGACGGAGACAAATTTTTCAAAATGTCAGAAGCCTACGTTCGTGGTTCTACTATCAAGTATCTCAGAATTCCAGAAACGGTAGGTACCTTTTCTTCTGGGAGTCAACATGACGTTTCCCATTCTTTACAGGTGGTTGATCTCGTCAAAACAGAAGTCAATGAAGTCCGTCGCCAGCAACAACGGGAGCAATCCCGAGGACGTGGTGGCGGTCGAGGCGGTCGTGGAGGACACCGTGGTGGTGGTGGCGGAAACCGAGGCGGACGTGGAGGTGCTCGATAAGTCAACACTGCAATCGATGATAAGAATGTGTTTCACCTTTTTTCGTCTCTAAATAATTTATGTATTTTATTCTTGATCGTTCCTTCTCCCTTCTCTTCCGATCTTCCCCGAGTCGGGTTTGCATTTTTACCATTTTGATCCGAATAAAATTGCAAAAAAAACCTGAATTACTTTAATTTCACCGAATGCGCCACAAGCGCCTATTGCGAAGACTACAATGTAGCCTTGACCTTATCAACCAATGCGGACATTGATTGTAGTCTGCAGTGTGATAACTGATGAATGTCTCTGCCATTCAATTCCTTTCAACTACATTTCTAATGAGATACCGTAAAACCTGTATTAGAAGAGCAAGTCCTTCTATTTTTCTGGTCATTTTTTTTCAAAATTTTTCATCGAAGAATCCGGTGAATTCTCGTTCAAAATTGATGAAAATCTATCCATTACACTGAGATTTTAGCAATATTCTGATTAAAAAAGTGTTTCCAACAAATTTCTGTCAAATTGGGAAATTTCCAGAAGGAATTTCCACTGAAAACATACAGAATTTTTCAATTTCAAAAACGCGTTTTGATGGATGCCCTTCTATTACAGGAACCCTTCTAATACAGGTTTATTTGATAAACTTAGATTTCAAAAATTTCAGAAAAAAATGTCTGTACCACCAACAAATCAACCACCTCCGCTTCCTCCAAGACCTATTGATGTAAATATTTCTTTTCATGTGATTTATAATTCAAAATCAATAATTTTAGAGTCAGCAGTTGGCAAACCCAATGATGAACTCTGGCTTTGGCTACGGTGGATATGGAATGAATGGATTCCCTGGATCCGGAATGTGAGTTTTTTTTGCTTTATCTTATTCTAGAAAACCTCAACGAACTTGCTCATTAGGTACGGAACCAGTGGTATGTACGGTGGAATGGGTTATGGTGGATACGGTGGATTCAATCACATGGGATACGGTCAACCCGCTGAAAGTAATTTTGCTCGCCTCGCCGAGGAGCAATCTCGTGGAGCATTTCAATCGATTGAATCAGTTGTAAATGCAGTTTCTTCGGTGGCAAATATGCTCAACTCTACGCACAACGCAGTCTACAGCTCTTTTCGAGCAGTTATTGGAGTTGTTGAACAGTTTGGGAGACTGAAAACGCAGGTATTATATTTTTTTTTAAAGTTAGAAGATGTTAATTTTTTTATTGAATTTTTATTCAGCTATCATCAGTTGTTGTTTCTCTCGCACTTTTCCGATGGGTTTATAAGTTTTGGAGATGGCTTTTGGTTATGCTCAAGTTGAAACCTGCTAACTATGCCAGTGTAGCGGAAATGGCTTGGGGATCTTCACAGCTTTATGGTAAGACAGAAAAATGCACGGTGTATATTACGAACAAAATGCGCTCAAACGCAAGTCATGTAATACTACAGTCATATTAGCATCGGTTTTAACGCCAAGGCTTTAAATTGAACTGGTGAAGTTTTCGAAAACTTCAACGTCATCCGAATTTTGAAAACGCGCATTTATAAAAATTTCATGTCGTTAACTCTCTTTTTTGTGTAATTCCCGACATTCTAATACCCACATCGACCTAGCACGGAATTGCTGGCGGCAACCTCAAAAAAACGCGCTTTGTCGCACACCTCGAGTTCAAAGACTTGGCACCGTGCCAAACCATCATTTTTTGAATTGGAAATTCCAAATTCCAAGCCGAAATTCAGCCGCGTTGCGCAGCGCAACGCGCCCAAGAGCACTGAGAAAAATTTGAATGCATGTACCCTGTTGCAACCCCGTGACCTTGTGTGAAGAGATTCTGAATATTGGCGTCTTCAGAATTCTGAATATGAAGTTCTTCAAACTAGGGCGATATGGGTATCAAAATGTTGAAAATTACATGTAACGAGAGTTGGCGACACAAGTATTTCTGAAAGATGCGTTTTCAGAATTCAGTAATTGGCCCAGTTTAGTGAAATTAGAAATTTTGATATATTCCGAATCTCTCAAAACGCTTTGTCTGAAATTTTTTGTATGTCGTTAACTTTCTTATTCAACTGATTTCTGACATTTAGTGAGACTTAGTGAGATTTTGAGATTTAGTGAGATTCCTAGTTTAGTGAGATTCTGATTTTTTTCTTCTGAATACTGAATTCGAAATTCTCCAAACAAGGGCGATATGGATACCAAAATGTTGGAAATTACATGGAAAAGAATGTCGACAATATAAAAATTTTAGAAAATTGCGATTTAAGATTTTCAGAAGACGTCAAAGTTTTTTGAGCCATTTCAGCCATTTTTTGAGTCATTTTTTTTGCTAACTTCGTATCTTAGCGTTCGAGCACGTTTACATAATATTCCAAAAATATCACCATACGAAAAAAACACAGTATCAATCTGAATTTTTTTTCAACCACCGATGTTCTTGGATCGACAAGAACACCAGCGACTGTTAACTGGCCAGCCGCTCTATTCTGGGTTGTAGCTATTGGAGGTCCATGGCTCATCTACAAATGTGTCAGTCAGATGGTTCAGGCAGCAGAAGAAAAAAGAAAATGGGCAACTGGATCAGCAGCACACTACACAGCTCAGGCGCTGTTCGATTTCCAAGCATCCAATGATCAAGAGCTGAGTTTTATGAATGGCGAGACATTGAGAGTAGCACCAAAAGAAGAACAACCAAGAGTGAGAGGATGGCTTTTGGCGAGGTAGGATAAACTTTATAGGATAAATTTTTTTAAAGTTTGGTTTCAGTGCTGCCGATGGAACTCGAATCGGATTGGTTCCAATAAACTACGTGAGGATCGTTGGGAAGCAATCACAATCTCCACCTCTGACGCAACAGAGTAATCTGGACACTTTTGTTAATTCATTCCCCTCCAAAGATTTGAACTCTAATTTACAGTAATCCCTTTCTAATTTTTTTCCATCCTGGTGTTTTATCAAAACGGGTCCTTGTTGAAAATCATGAACTTTTTATCATAAACTTTTTATTCCGAACTATAAAAATATTTCAGAGAATGGAAGAAAATGAAGACCTAGTAATTATTTGAGAGTTTCAAGAAGTGAGCTTTGAGCTCATACCCCGCTTTTCGTGACAAAAGGAATGTGAAAATAAAACAAAAGTTTGAAAAAATATTGTCATTTAAAAGTCGCGCCACTGATTGAGGTCCATTGATGGAATCTGACTACATGGTACCATATGCCCTACTCGGAACGCTTCTCGTGGAATTGTCTGAAAATGGATTGGATGATTTTTGGAATCTCCAACACAGAAAGATTGCTTACAGAAATTGTGTTTGTGTTATCACAAATGATTCTGCTCAACGAGCTCTTACGAATTTCCACCAGTTGACGACGAGAGAAGATTCCTGGGTTCTCGTAGTAGAATCTGAAGATCAAACATGTTTTCTGTGGCTCAGTTGTATATGAATTACCTGTCTCCATCTCTTGTTCTCTTAAATTGAGGACCAATAATACAGGCGACAGTTGGTCCGACCAATCCTCTAATGATCGGATCTTCCAGCAATGCACCCACCCACAAATCAATCTTATCCACTGATCCATAGATTTCTTGCAATTTGTTCCTTGTTCCTGTATTCAAAATTTCTCGAGATAAATGTTCGAAATTGAAGGCAGATCCCATTCCACACAACTCTCTATATTTGACGTATGCTGGGTGTCCATGATCTCTTCCTCGTTGAATGTTGATTGTGGACAGATCGGTGGATCCGAACATGTTTTCGGTTACTGTAGTTGTTACTCTCTGCGGCCTCTTCACATTTTGTGAGAACATTCCTCTGATCAATGGATCGACTCCTCCCTCGTTGACTAGAACATCCGAATGAAGTGTTCCCTTTTGGAATGCAAGTGCTCCGAATGAAATATTACGGAAAGAAGTGTCAAGTCGTTGATAGAACTCTTGAATCATTCCATGTCCAAAACGGAATGCAGCAGAAGTGAATTCATTTGCAACAGTTGAATCCACGTCAGAATCATATCCTCTATAATCTCCGACTACTGTAGCAAACGATGCTCCGAGCACTTTTGGAAGCCACTCCCGATAAACGATTGCTTGAACTTGAGCTCCAACTACTTTTCTTGCTTCTTGATAGAGACGTTCTCCATCCCAGTGTGGATTTAGTCGCTTGAATGTGGTGACAAGTCGGTTGTGCTCTTTTGTGAATATGGTATGCCATGCCGAAAGACCGACGAACAGATTGACACGACTGTCTCCTGCTGTGAAGATTACTGAGCATTGAGCACGGTTTCTACACTTGTTTTGATCGAATGGAAGGACTGAAAAAGTAATTAGGTAATACTGTAATCTCGAAAAGTAACTAACAAGCATTTCCGTTGAACATTGGAAGTTTCAAGAAGCCAGATGTTCCATCTCTAAACTTTTTAGAATCATGGACAGAGGATCCGTAGATTGGAGAAGCATCAATGTATCCAGTATTCTCATTCAGTTGTTGACGTGGCTTCAAATTTCCTGATCCACAGATTGGAGAGGATCGAGAGACACGGATGCATTGAGCTTGACGGAAGCTGAAAATTTCATTGTTGAGTTTACCGTAAACCTGTAATAGAATGGTACTAAATTTTTAACTAACTTTGAGCCAGTTTTTCTCGGTTCCTGTCAAACATTAAAAAGTTGTCAACTGATAAATTGTTCATCATAATATCACAAACATTTTATCAGTTGACACATTTTTGATATCTTGGTCAAGAACCAAGAAAAATAGTTCATAATCGACAATGAGGGGGCCCTTCTATTACAGGTTTTTCGGTAAATAATTCAATTCTAGGTTACTCACTTTGCATTGGCATCATCAAAAGTGATTGGGACAGCCATACAACGACTAGTGATGTTTTGACAGACATTACACTTTGATGATGGAACAAGAGTGGTTTTAGCCATATCGTGAGAGATGAACTGTCCGAATTGCATGATAAGAGCATTGTAGTCTGGGGACTCGACCGAAGCTTGAGAAGATGTGAGCTTGCGAGTAATCTCTCGAGGAGAGGGACGAGCATCTGTGAACAGAGATCCTGAGAATATAATTATTTGTTGTTATTTGTATGGAAGATTCTTGTATGAGCTTACCAACTGGTTCGGAAACTTCATTATCATAAATAGTCGGAAGCAGTCTGGTATATGGGCGGTATGAAGCTCCTCTCAAAGGTTCTCCCTTCATATTGTTACAAGTTCCATCAAGAGTACGGTAGAGGGCATTGTAACACATGTTGGCTTCACAATCAGCTTCATCAAGCCTAGGGGTGCATGCATTGGCAGTGTTGGAACGAATCACTTGATCTAGATCAACTGTTTGACGACGGGAATTGTCTGAAACACTGATCATATTAACAAGAAGACAAATGTAATTGATATACCTTCGGTAGAAACCGAGAGACGTTCTCTCCACATGTCCTCTGCTGCCACGATGGGATCATTGATGATTTCCCGACATCTTGCATTCGAAGCAGTGTTAATGAAGGATCTAGTAGTTGGTGGTTGTCTGAAAATGGGTTACTGTTATCTTTTAGTCAACTTAAGATCCGTGTTGATAAGTTGGTGGTCAATTCTAACACCGTTTCCCAAAAAAAACCTAATCCATGAAAATCCCAACTAATAGATCAAAATCAACAAAAGATCATACGTGAATTCCCTGGTAAAATGAGTCGTTGCTGGTGCTTGAGTCGTCGTTGTTGTAGTCGTCGTGGTTGGTGGTGGAGGTGGTGGGAATGTCCGTCTGGTAGTGAAAAACACTGGAGGTCTTCTTGTAACTGCTGGTCTTTGAACAAAGAATCGTGTCACTGGAGCTATGTCAGGAACAAACGCAAACGTTGGAATTGGGGTTGTTACTGTGAACACACGAGGAGTTGGACGGATCGTTGGTCGGATGATATTTGGTCGTTGACGAGGTGGAGGTGGCCGGCGATTCATGAACGGACGACGTGTAACAGGAAGTCTTCTGGAACAGTGTTGTGGGAATTAAAAAATAAATTCGGTTGATGAGTAAACGTAAAAATTTTGAACAGAAAGAAACTGAAATGCTTAACAAAGACTCACGTAGTCTCAAAGTTTACAGTGGTGCCTTCAAAAGCAAGGAAAGGACCGGAAGCGTCATCAGAAGCGCCGTCAGAGAAAGACGGAATAAATTGGGGTGCAGGGGTTGTGGTCGTTGTGGTTGTAGTTGTAGTAGAAGATGTAGTCGTTGGAGCTGGGGTAGTTGTAGTTGTAGTCGTTGTTGTTGGAATTGGAGTCGTCGTAGTGGTTGTAGTTGTAGTAGAAGAGTTGTGGTTGTGGTAGTCGTCGAGGGAGTTGTAGGTATTGGAGTAGTAGTAGTCAAAGCAATAGTTCTTGTACTATTGAAAAAGAAAAAGAACTTTCTCGTCACTTTCCTCCCTCTCGATCCACCAAATGAACTAGCAACCCGGATCGGAGGACGTGCGGTTTGTAAAAGGATAGGTGAAGTGGGTGCTGCTGGCTCTACAATAAGCGTTAGAAAGGACCCAAAAAGGAAAGGTATCATTCTTTTAAAATTTTCTATTCCCTTTTTTTTCTCGTTTCCTAACCAGTTTTTATTTGTACTTCTCGCAGACACTTGGGCCAAAAAAATAGAAGCGAACACGAGAGAAAGACAATGAGCATACAACTGCTCAGTGGAAAAGCATGAAAGAGATATGCCATGATGATGTCGTGCGTGTGCGTGTAACAAGAAAAAACGAGCGGAAACTAACCTGGGAATGGCGGTAGCTGTAAATGTTGGTCGGCGAGTTACTGGTGGTGGACGGGATTGTGGTGGAGCTCGGCGAGCTGGTGTGGTTGTAACAACTGGAGCTCTCGTCTGAAATTTAAACTTTCCTTTATTCAAAGGGATTCAGACGTGGGGGGAGCTGCAAGTTTACGTGGTGGTGGCCTTCTCGGACGGTTTGAAGGTCTTGGTGTTGGTCGGATGACGTTCTTTCTTGTGCACGTGTTGCAGGCAAGCTGACATTTGTCAACCATCCAATCCGCATTGGTCTGAAATTCGATTTTTTGTTAATGGAAAAATTCTTTAGAAATTCGGCTTAAAATGCTTCTCATACTATGAGGTGAGAAATTGACCTCGTTCACAAATTACAGTACCGGGCATTACGATACACAAAAACGTATTTTTTCAGGAGCTTGGAGCTCAACTTTCAAGTTTCCAATCATTTTGAAATTTTTGGAGAGTGTCAAACAGACCTAGATTGAAAACGTTGACTTCACAGAATTTTTCGAAAATTCCTAGTTTTTCAGATATTTGCCGATTACTAGAAGATACCCCTTTTTGCCTGTTTTGGTACTGAAAATGTGAAAAACATGTATCTTTCAGAAATCGGTAAGTATCTAAAAACTAGGAATTTTCAAAGAATTCTGTGAATGCAAAGTTTTCAATCTAGGTCGGTTTTACACACTCCAAAAATTTCAAAATGATCTAAAACTTGACAACAGAGCTCCAGACTCCTGGAAATGGTCAAAATGAATGAAAATCAACTTAAGAGTACATTTTTGTAAATCTTATTGACTGACACTGTACATCGGAAAAAAAAACATATGTTCCAGATGGACCCATGACGCTTTTCATTATTTTAGCGCTAAACTACAGTACCCCATTCCTACCTTGCATTCTCCTACTGACGCCCAAAATCTGCACCACTCGTGATGGTCACAACATCCATTTTTCAAACAGTGAAACCGTGAAGTTACAGGATTATCATCGTCAGCTTCTGAAAATCCAAAACGTCTTTTAATGTCTTCAGAATCTCTTCATGACTCACCACAACCCGATGGCATCCATAATAATAGAAGAAGGCTGCATACCGTGGTCGCCAGCAACGGTTTTGTCCACCACCACATTCTCTGAATATCTTTAGTCTAATTGTGCCGATTCACACCTATTATTCAAATTGCGAGAGAAGTTGAGACGAGGGAGGGCAAGGCGTCAATTGGTTTCGAATTCAATGTCAATGGGTTACAGGCGGAAAAGGAGGAAAAGACAAAAAAGGCAAGTAAAAACTTTGGAAGACGATCAAAAATCGGCTATGTAACGAGGGAAAAGGAACGGCAAGCGAGAGGTAAAGGTATTCTGAATATTTACAAATTGGAAAAGAAAGCAAAAAGGAAGCATCTGATGAAGCAGTGAAAAGATCAGTCACAAGTCAGTGTCCGGTGATGTCCCTATTCTAACACAATTCGTCTCAAATGAACCGTGAACCAACCGATTGCGCATTGTCTTGAACTCCTCTGTCTGAAAGCAGCGAGAATAGTAAGAAGTCGTCGGAAGGTATTGAAAAGACACGGCAACCGTTTCCGACAATTGAATCGGTGTCGCATTCTACTTTTATCATCAAGTGTCCGTGCCGCCGTCGTTTGGCAACATTTCAAGAGGTGTCTCTCCTCCTGCAGACGACGATGCCGTCAAATTTCGTTTTCCAGAAGACGTGCAAAAAATGCGATGAGACTATGTAGATCAAAGCACATCAAAGTAGAAAAAGTGAAGAATGGAATGAATAAACCAAAGATTGAATTAAAGTTTCTGGGAGGTTTTTGGGTTTATTTTAATTGGGTTTAATTGCTCCTAGGTGGTTCTTACAAGTTGTAAGAGTCGTAAATGAAAGGGCGAAAGAACACTTTTACGGCTAGGGTTACAATTGATATCAGAAAATGAAGAATAGTAAAGGTGGTTTTGAAAAACGGTCAAAGAATGATTTTAGCCGTTGTATGGTGGTCATGGTTTCAAAATGGTTGATTGCAAAAAATCGAGTTGGGATTCCTGCAGGGTACAAGAAAAATCGCAATACAATAAAAACTCTAATAGAACGCCACTCAAGCCATCAACTTTGAGCCCGTATGTCTCATATTCTGTAAATGATATCAAAAAATAGACAACTGACAAAACGTTTATCATAATATCATTAACATTTTATCAGTTAACCACTTCTTGATATCTTTCATAGGAACCCAGATAAATGGCTTCGAATTTGATGGTTTGGCTGGCATTGTATTATAGTGTTTACGGTAATTACACAAGGTTGCATAAAGAATGAATAGAGCATTGTATTGCACTCAAATTTAGAGTCCAAAAACTCAAATATTCCATCCAAAAACTGGTCAAGTTTCAAATTATTTGATCAATTTTGAGCTGAGTTATCACTTGTCAAAACTGCTTCATACCAAGAAATCACATTACGCCGTTTGTCTTTGGACAATCATAACAATACTTATACTTCAGGAATCGCTTTCAAAATTGCAGAAGCTTTGAATCAGACATAAAATTATATTTCTACTGATTTTCGTGCATCCAAGACACTTATGTCTGAAGATATACCCGTTTCTATTACTTCGGGTAATTGTGCGCCATCCTGTTTTAAGGCAATACTAATTTTTCTGTTTTCTACATAATTACGAATGAGCGTCCTAGCTAGAAATTTGTTTTCCTTATTACTAGAAAAACTTTCAGCTCAATTACAGCAAACTAGACTTTCAAAAAAATAAGTCAAAACTATTTTTCCAAAAATCAAAAATAGTCTTACCGGTAGTTCAAAACCCACTTGAATTCTGAACAACCCAATGTTCCGGTAACCTCTTTAAGTACCATATGGATTCATGAGTAATCCGAACTTTGATCTTTTAGTTATAAGTTTTGCAAATTTCCACATTCTTTATCAAAAAACTTACTACCTAAAACTAAATACTTGGAATACTTGTGATAATCAGATCATCATCAGAAGTGATCTAAATTGACGCGCGCGCCTGAACTGTTTGCCATAAAAAATTGCCTTTCTCTCTTCCTTTCCAATCTCATTCTCTCGACAAATTGGTCACGGTCAATAATCCGTCAAAAAGAGAAAAAAAAACCTAATCAGGAAACCACAAAACTACTGTTTGGTGAGGGTTTCTGCTGCTGATGATGTCGTTGACAATACGAAGAAGAAACGGGCATAAAAGGACACGGAAGAGTAATGGTGTAATAGGGTTTCTTGGTGAAAAATGAACGCAAACAAAAGGGAAGAAGAAGAAGAAGAAATACTGACATTTATAAAAGAGTGATTCTCGAAAATCTTCAATTTGGAAGCGATAAAAAAGCTGACCACAGAGAAGGAAGTTAGTTGGAAAAGTGATACACGGAAACAAAAGATTCTAGTTATATTCTGAAGGATGATTGTATCTAAAACTGAAAAAGGCTGAATTGAAATCAGCGGCATCTTTTTAAAATTCAATTTCCGTGAAATCTAAAAATTCAAAGAATTTCCATCTTTTCTAGATTACATGAATCTACTGTAGACCCTTATACCATCAATTTCAGACCTAATTTTCTCGTTTTTCACAGAAGGTGTCAAAAATTATTTGTTCATTGTAGTACCTTCCTTTAATCAAAGCAAGCGTTTTGTCAGTTTAGAGGTTTCAAATATCCCCAAAACGCGGTCGCCCTCTTCTTGCACTTCTAGCTCACTTATTTCAATTCCTGGGCAAGTTATCAAAAATTTGTCAACTAGTAAAATATTTTTCATGATTTCCCCAATATTTTATCAGTCAACAGCTTCTTGATATCTTCTACAAAAATGAGATGATTGAGCCCAAAAATATGAATAAAACAATATGCTGTAAACACTCTACTCGAACTTTGAGCTCAATTATTTCAATTCCTATGCAAGTTATCAAAAATGTGTCAACTGATAAAATGTTTGTCATAATATCACCAAAATTTTATTAATTGAAAATTTTTTCATATCTTAGACAGAAACCGAAATCAAACTCAAAGTTAGAAGTTATTTCTTCTTTTAGAGTGAATACTTACAGTAGCCGAGGTAGTTTCAATTGAAGTTATGATAAATAAATTAGAAAAAATACGGAAAATAGATGAGGATTGAGAGAAGGTATTGAAATTGGATAGTTTTCTTAAAAACACTCAGTGATTGTTTACAGTGTATGAAGAATAAAAAAGTGTAGAAGAACTTGAAAAAAAGGGGTGGCGACGTTCCTGTCGGAGAAGTACTCGGGAACCTATCTTTTTCAGATGCTTCTTTCCACGTCACACTCCTTCAATCAACACATCGAGGAAAAAGAAACAAAGTTGTAAAAAGGGAAAACCGATTTCTCTCTTTCTCGCTCTAACTTCCAATCACATCAATTATCACTTGTTAGCCACCGAAGCTTGATTTGACGAATAGGTGAAACCGAAAAGAGAGTAAATGTTACTGATCTGATAGCGAACGAAGAAGATAAACAGATTTTTAGAAATTCTGCGATTCCCACAGGCAATTGCAGTTCAAAATTGGTTTCATGTTTTGCCAGATTTTGAGAAACAGTTCTACAAAAACAAAAAACTGTGAAAAAAATAAAGAGAGGAAGTCTGAATAAGTGAAAAAGCACTTGAAATTCTGACATTAAATAGGAGGGAAGAGGCGTGAATACACGATAGACTGTGGTTGATTTTGTTGGTGTGGAAACAAGGAAACCTGTAATAAAAGGGCCCTCTAAACTTTGAGCCAATTTATCTAGGTTCCTCTGAAAGATATCGAAAAGTTGTCAACTGATAAATTGTTTGTCATGATGTCAGAAGTATTTTGTTAGTTGACAGATTTTCGATATCTTTTACGGGAACCTAGTTAAACTAGCTCAATATTGACAGTACCCTTCTATTACAGGTTTGCATTATCTTCCTTATATATATATATAACTCTAGAGACGTCTGTCCGTCCCCGTGTCCGTCTTTCAACTTTGGAAAAACTCGAAAAATAAATATAGATTTGCGTGACCCTTTTAGAAAAAGTGAAGAGCGAAGCTACGAACCAATAAAAAACTAGATTGAATCGCGCCGAAGGCGCACCAGCTTGCTGGTATAACCTAAAAAAACTGAAAACTGTATTACAGTTTTTTAGTCAGGAAGGAGACAATGTACAGAAATCTGTGATAAAGCTAGGATTGCCGTACAAACAGTCGGATCAAAGGGAAAGTTGTTTGGCATCGTTATCTGGATGAGGCTGTTGAGACTTTCTTAACGATCATCTGGTCAGCTGAGATTTCTGGGAAAGCAACACCTTCTGTTGCGTCACTTATTCTCCAGAATCCGAAACTGTAACCAAGGCTTCTTTCTCTTTCTTTCAACACCCAATGTTCTCTGTTCCACACGGTAAGAAATTGGTTTTCTCGATTTCTTGTTAAATGGAAACATATTTCGAGAACAAAACGGCAAATTGGGAAGAAGAAGGAGAAGCGCCGCACATTTCGATTACTTTTTTTGTGTAAAAACCAAGAAAAACGGCAGATATCTTGAATGGACGGAGAAGAAGCAGCAGTTGACTACGGGGCGTAAGGTCATACTCTTTTTTTTCGGTCGTTTTTTTTGCATGCCGCAAAAGTGGCAAACGTCAAGAACACTTATTATTACTATGGGTATTAAACACAATTGAGGCAAAATGTGTTGAAAGGGGACACTTATTATGAGAAAGTTGGGGGAATGTAAGCCTTTTGGGAACGGCTTAGCTGAATTATGGGAACATTGAGACATAGAAAAGATAAGATTTTTTGTACCCAGAATTGCAAGTTTATTCCCTATTTTTACCATACAACCTGTATTAGAAGGGCCGGCACTTCTATTGTTCTAACGTACCTCCGGAGGGCCCTTCTATTACAGGGGCACTTCAATTAAAGGGGCCTTTCTATTTTTCCGGTCATTTTTTTTTCCAAAAAACTTCTGTTCAATCTTGGATTTTTCAGAATAGTTTTCACTGAAAACGTTCGAAAATGTTTGTTTTCAAACAACACATTTTGAAGGATTCTCTTCTATTAGAGGGGTCCTTTCTATTTTTTTTAAAAATCGAAAGACGCTATTTATGAAAGTTAAGTATACAATA